CTGACTCAAGGGGCATTCAGAGCAGGCTGTTCAGCCCCATGAGCTTGTTCTGTCATTCAGTTGGATCACAGCTGATGAGCAGCAACGTTAATATCTCTTCTGCAACTGACTGGCAAACCACGATGCTTTTGGAGTTTTAAACATATCGTACACGTTCTGCAGAATTATAGAAAAAATATGTGGGAGAGGAATGGATAAAAACTTTAATATGTTTGACTTGTAGTCACCTGCCTGTGCTGGATTGTTATGAAACTCTTTCATCTCTGCGTTCAGATTCGACCCTAATAGATATGCTAAAGGTCCTCTGTCATGATTGTTGAGGATCTTTTGAATGTGATTAGATTTAATCTGACTTTCATGAGGATATTAGTCTACATAGCATTACCTGCTGCTGGAAAGGTAAAAGAAATTGCAGGGCTGCTGTGAAAACGAAGGATTCTGACTAGCTGAGATGCTGTTGCAGAGAGATGGTATGCTCATGACTGGCCAAATGGACCCCTTTCCCTGTTGTAGCCATTCTGTGATTCCAGTGAAGCTTGAGCCATGTACATTCAGGGGTGATTCTTCTGATCGTTGAGTTCAAAAATGTTGGTGAGGTTTAGTGCATCGAGTGCTTGTTGCGACCATCGGTGTGGGCTATTTTCTATCACTGTCATCAGTTATCTTGAGTGTGAGTGAGCACACTACTGTTGGTTTATGCACAAAAAAACCCCTGTTATGATGATGGACTTCCCAAACACATCTGATTTTATCAACTTTTAAACTCGCTTATCCATACGCTATGATGTTTGGTACACTGAAGTCTTGGAGCGATGCAAGATGTCAATTTACACCTGCAATAATGTCAGATGCATTGTCAAGAGGAGGCAGCAACAGAGGCAAGGCTCTAGAGCAGCACACATGGGTTGCTCTATTACATTGTATAGGCTGGTTACAGAGAGTCACGGGGAGAGACCTGTTAACAAGCTTTCTCTTGATAGGTGATTGGCTTTGATGTTGCAGAAGAGAAGATGGTAAATGACCAAGCTGACCTGTTCTATTGAATGAGGTGGAGACCACCAGTTCTTGACTGGGCCCCTTTGTGAGGAGCATCCAACTGCACATCTAATAGAAATAACCCACCCTTGCTTAAACTCTTTAAAGCTCCTGCAGGTCATAATGGAACTGTAATGATGGTGCTGGAGAGGAGCGTGAAGCCCAAATCATTGCACCTCTGAGCTGTAGGAGGAAAGGTGTCACTGCCAGGAAGCACCTTCCTTTCCCACATTGCTTCCCTCCCCCTCCCAAAACAAAAATTGGAGGGGTAAATATATATTCATATTTCAAATATAAATAGATGATTTGTAAGCCCTTTACTGCTGTTGCAGATTGTATAGTGGGTGAAAGCGGAATTGAAGAGGTGGGTCTGGCAGCAGGCAGAAGCCAACGAGAGAAGAAGCGTTCGTATAAAGATTTGCTGAGAGAAGAGGAGGAAATAGATGCAGAAGTCCGAAAGTCAGCCAAAAAGAAAGCGAAGGTGAGGGCTGTTTTTGTTTTTTGTTTTCTAAACCTTGCTGTTTTTTTGCCCATCCTGTGTGCAGCCGCTCCCACCTCGCATCTTCCTCCATCTAAGAAAGTGTGAACGGAAGGGCTCCAGATCCAGGGACTGTTATTCTGACAAGGGGGAAGCTGAGAAACTTCCACATCAATCGTACTTGTTTTATTTTGCTCGCAGTACATTCAAGGCAGGAAAACTGCAATGGCCTGGTTCACTCTCAACAGAAATGTCAAAAAGCATCTCTTGAACAATCCCTCTTGATTCTTGGAGTTGGTGGAGGGGTGGGAGTGGTGGTGAGGTGGAGGGAACAACTGACTGAAAAATCTTTGAATCAGATTTTTCTGAACTTTGGCAATCGCGAGTACCCACTGGAATACAGTGAACAATTCTGTCTGTTGGTCAGTGAATTTGCAAGTTCAGTCTGCAGTAAGGGTCTGTCTTTTTGGGCTCCTTCCTCTCACCTTCCATCTCCATCATCCTTACTGAGACAGTTAAATCACAAGCCATCATCGTTTTGCTGTCAGAAGAATTATCATGTGCCTATGATTGATGGAAAAAATGCCTGTGCTGTTGGTTGCAGGCAGATGAAAGCTAACTTTGATGGCAGCAGTTTCTTGAATCTTGGTGTTACTGCCATTAATTTTGCGTTGCATGAAAATCTTCCTAAGCGTCACTTGCCTTGCTTAAGTGTATGCTATGCGATGTGGTCCCAGCCAAATTCTGACTTGGCCAACCTCGGACAGGGGCTGATAAGGAAGCATTACAGTTCTCTTCCTTGGAATGCTAGAGGATAAATCAGCTACTTTGGATCGATATACAGCAATTCATGCTGGCCTTGCTGTAGCCAAACACTCTGCTTTTGTTCATTGTTGATGTACAGACATGAATAGTGGGTGAATACTGGAGAGTGTGTTCTACCTGTGGAACCATAGCTTAAGGAGGAACCAGAAAAGGTGAGAATATTTCCCTTTGTGGAACCACAGTGAGTTTTGCTCTTTGTGAGCACTCACTCAATTGTTTTGTCTCCACTGTCTTCCTATCATTTCTCACTCATGTATGCATCTCTTGTGCTTTTTCCAAAAAGAACTGTTTACATATGGAGAGGTCCATCACAGACATGGGCATTAACTTGTACACTGGCATCATTTTGGCATCCTATCGTAACATACTGTTGTTGCAACAACTTATACGATATCCTTTTTTTCCCTTTTTTAGTTTTATACTTTTTTTTACAGCTATCATATTCTCATCATTGAGCTATTTTATAGTTTGTCCTTGTCTATGGTCAGTGCTTTCCTATGTCTTAATGGAAAGCTAGGATTTGCTTTCAGTGCGCAACTAAGATCAAGAACTCACCATTTGGTGGATCAACCGTAAGCCACACCCTGCTTTGCCACGTAGTGGCCACCAACAGACACGCTTTTCTAAAACATCACTAATGAGCAGGGAACTATGCTGCCCACATCATTACCTTAACTTTCATTGTCTACAGCGAGGGTAAGTTAATCAATGCAGTTCCTTGTTCGAATATTATGTTACAAGCTGCTTGATGTAATTGAGAGGATCGTCGGAAACTGACATCCGAAGTTGATGGACTGGAAAATGGCAGCTGACCCAAAACTCCAACGTGTGCCACAGTGGTTGCAGTTATTCAGTTATCTCCCACATGGAGGAGTGCCATTGGGACCATTATCTTCAATGTTCAAGAATTGGGTGATTTGGAGAATTGCCTGAATAATATAAAATAGAAATTTATCTAAGATAATTACATTGCTGTAGTGACTGATGGACATAATGTTGTATTCTAAATTTAAATGGTTTTGTTCCTTCAGCATTGTTGCCACCATAACCCCAGAGGCCTTCCAACAACATCTCACAGCCGTTGATAATTGTTGAAACCTTTGCATATGCAATCCTGTATGTTGATTAAGAGGGCCCTCGCACTTGGAGGATGCCCACTTTCCTTGAAGATGTTGCCACAATTTGCAAGGGTCTAAGGGATCCTCTACAAATATGTTTCTAGACTGACAAGAGTCGGTGTCTTCCCCTAAAGGTGCTGTTTTTTCTTCTGCTTTGCCAGAATCTACCTGAATAAAGTTGTGGAATTTTGAGGGCAGGTTTGTGCTGTAGATTACTGAGAATTTGAATAAATGAACCAAGCTTGTTTTCCTTGGGATTCCTTGACAATCAGTGTGAGAAGTTCCTCACCCCAACTATGAGGGTTCACGCAGCACAAAGGAAAGGGCTTGTTGTAATGCACCACGACACCCATTCTCCAGTTCGATCCTTTTCCAAAAGCTCATTGCTCATCTCTTAATTATCCATTTATCCTTGACTTGTTTTGATAAACATATACTTTAAACATAAATGTAAGTAAACATTTAATAAATACAATGGCTGTGAAGTTCTGAATTTAAATCTTAGTTTTGCTGTTTTAATTCAGGATACTGAAGGTTTCTTGTTGGCTGCCGATATTCATAAGAAAAAGAAGAAATTACACCATTTAATGGGCGAAGAATTCTACTATGGAGGTATTTGCTGAAGTTATTTCCGACATTAATTTTTCTTTGTGATCTCTCTCCTTTGGATACAAGTCAAGGCACTAGAAAAGGTGTGAAAAATATTTACAATGCTGATATTGAAGCTAGCTATGAGGAAAAGTTGAATGGGTTGAGGCTCCTTATTCTAGAAAAGACTGCAAGATGACTTTTGAATAGAATTCGTTAAAAATAACAAAGCGTTTGATAACGTAGAGAAGATGTTTCCACTTGTTAGAAGTCTGAGTTCTATTTCTATACTGAAGTCTGTGCCAGCAATATTTTTGCCTTTGAAGATGCTGGTTGTATGGCATCATCTGTTGGTAGGGTGCTGGATATTGATGATTCCTTCCACGGAACTAAAAAGAAATTAAAAAATAACAAAGAAGGTCAAGGTGTTTATCTTCAAGTTTCCTTGGGTTCTTTTGCCTATGGTTACACACCTCTTTAACAATGGGAATTTTTCTCCTATCTTGCAGCCTATCAAAACCCTTCATAATTATGAACACCTCCAGTAAATCTCCCCTTAGCCTTCTCAGCTTGAAAGAGGATAATCTCAGCTTCTCCTATCACAAAGTCCCATAAACCCTTTCTCAGGTATGAGTTTTTTTGCTTGAAAGTGAATTAGCAGGCTCTTTTGATAATTATATGTATTTTTCATAACCATGCTGCTTGACAGCATGTTCTCAGTGCTGGAGCATTTTCTGGGATTGGGCAGGTTCGGTTCAGACTTAGTGATGGAGTATGAGAAAATCAACAGCTATGGTTGCTAGAACCTTCAATGTGGAGAGAAGACTTGAGGGATGACTTGATAATGATCTTTAAGATTATGGAAGGCTTTGATAAGGTGTACATAAGGAGTATGTTCCCATCTGCAGACGAAGTCAGAATTAAGAGTCACCAGTAAATCCAATAGGAAGTGCAAGAGAAACTTCTTTGAGAGAATATGGACCTTACTACCCAGTGCAGTAGTTGAGGCAAATAATGTAGATACATGTCAAAAAAAGTGAGATAAATACATATTTATTTATCATGATAGGGGTTCAATGAAGATGAATGGAAGGAGGTTCATGAGGAACAAACATTAGCATGTTCCTGTTGGTACAAGTGACATATTTCTGTGTTGTAAAAACTGCATAAGCATTGAGGTGTCATTAGGTATAGTACCAAATAGTTAAATGAGCTTTGTTCCAAGTGGAACTGGTGATGCTTTGGACGGAGGCAAGGGTGCTAGAGTTGGCCATCAACAAGTGGTTCAATGCTGACTATTGTACTGGCATCAGGAGAAGGCAGATTTCACCTTGACCTGTATTCGGCATTGAAATGAATTTGTGACCACACAGATGAGGTACTGATGGGTAACCAGTGCTGGTGGAGCTGGTATCCTACAATGAGCTGGTGTTTTCAGAAGAACAGTGAGGAAACGAGTTGGAGGGGAGAAAAGTGGGAAGAAAACAATAGATTGGATTCTGAAATGTCTTCAGCTAATGATGTGAATGAGACCATTGTTCTCATTCACATTGAGTGATCATCCCGAAATCTTTCTGGTTGAAGAACTCTTTCAAATAGAAATATAATCATGGACACTTCTGTATCTGCATTACTTTTTTAAAAAATTCTTTCAAAGAATTTGGGCATTGCTGGCTAGGCCAGTATTTATTGCCCTATATATTATTGCTGCAAAATTCTGGGTGTAAATAGTATTTTTTAATAATGCTTTAGAGCATATGGATATATGCTGACCGATACCAGTGAGATATGTGTGCCTCCTTCTTACTGCTGAGTTGATCCTTGGTATAAAGGGAACTGGAGCCTGGAGTAATAGTCAATGGAGAGAGTATTTAGAGAGAAGGGGAAGAGTTTGGAGTTTGTGGTTGGGGGTTGGGGAGGTGGGGATGCGGCTGGTGTTGCTGGAAGGAGGAATCGGAAGCACTCTTCCAGACTGCAACTCATAATGAGTGGCATTGTCGTACTTTTGACATAGAGGCAGGCCTGGAACCTGTCAAACCCGTAAGGGTGGGGGCACTTACTTTCCAAAAGTTGGCAGTGATCAACAGATTGTAACTTTGAAAATCATTAGTCTGCAGCATAGAAATGGACCCTTTGACCCAACTAGTCAATGCCGTTGTTCCTGATTTACCCAAGTTTCCTGTCATTCCGCTTCATTTAACTCCACCAGCATGATCGCCCAGTCCTTTCTTCATTTTCTTAGCTATCTTCCCTTACAAAGCATTGATGCTCTTCACCTTAACTACTCCTTGAGGTAACAAGTTTCATAGTCTAATTGAGATGTATAAAATGCTAAAGGTGATTGACAAGGTAGACGTAAGATGTTTCCACTGGTGGGCCATTCTAGAAATGCGAGTTCATAGTTTTAGGATAAGATGAAGAGAAGTTACCTCTCTCACAGGGTCACGAATTTGTAGAATTCAACATCTAGAGTGTGGTAGATGCCAGGACATTGAGTAAATTTAAGGAGTACAGATTTTTAATCAGTAATTGTTTGAAGAGTCATGGAACAGGCAGGAAAGTGGAGTTGAGGCCAAGGTGAGATCAGCCATGGTTGTATTGAATGGCAGGGCAGAGTCGAGGGGCTGAATAGCCTTTTCCTGCTTCTAGTTCTGATGTTCTTAATTGCTCTCTGGGAAAATTAGTTTCTCCTGAAATCACAGTTGGATTTATTAGTATTTTCCCTGCATCTGTACCCTCTAGTTTTGAACTCCCCACACAAGTGGGATCATCTCTATGTTCGCCCTACTGAATCACTTCATAATTTTGAAGGCTTCTTTCAGGTCATCCTGCAGTCTTCTCTTTTCTGGAGAACAGAGCCCAGCGTGTTCAGCGTTCCTATGTTTCTGTGAAGTTGCGTTGCAAAGCCATTCACTGTGTTTTATCTTTCCTGTACGAATGTAGAACTGTCACCTATGGAACCTGTGAAAAAGAAGAAAAAGTCTGAGGGTCATCAGGCTGACACTGCCATGGGTCTCCTCAAGGCCATCACTTCACCCATATCAACAGTTTCAAAACCTTCCAAAAAACCTGAGAAATCGCTTTCTGCTTTTAGCTCAGCATCCTATCCTCCCTTATACTCTGAGATCAGGAAGGAACACAAGAAAAAGGCCAGCAGTGCAGAGCATGAAGAAACCCCTGAAGAAGGGGACTTCCATAAGGCGAAAAAAATGAAGCCAATTTTTGTAAATACAGACACAGTGACAGTGCGTGAGGCGGAAGGTTTAAAAATGAAGCTCCTCCTCTCGCCTAAGGACAAATCGGGCACAGATGATGAAGCATTCAACTTTGCCACGTCATCGAGCCTCAAGAAATCATCAAAAAAGATGAGCAGGGAACAGGATCATGCCACGTTCCACTCCGCCATCGAGGCCCAAAGCCTGCCAAAAACTGTTGTTCGCAAAAAGCACAAGTCAGAATCTCGAGCCAGCGAGAGCTTTGACTCTGAGACTCGTTTCTACAGTGAAGTCCGTGCTGGTAACCTCTCCGAGTGTGACCTCTCAGGCTTAGACGCACTGGATACGGCATCATCCTCTGGTGGGGAGCTAGAGGCGGGAGAATTGGTCATCGATGACTCCTTCCGCGAAATGAAAAAGAAGAAGAAGAAAGATAAGAAGAGCAAAAAAAAGAAGGACAAGGAGAAACACCGAGAGAAGAAACACTCCAAGTCAAAGAAGATGCATGCCCATTCCCCGGCGAAGATCTTAGCAACCACCAAGTGCTGCTACCCGACACAGTCGGCTGTTAGCACACCTTATGCAATTAATGTGCCCCCACCTTCCATATTCCACATGGAAGGACAGAGTGAAAAAAAGAAGAAAAAGGAGGAAAAAGATAAAGAAAAAGTTGAGAAGCCAGAAAAGGTGAGGTTGTTCTGAACCTATTGCAGGAAATTTCACTTGACTTAAAATAGTAAATTATAGGAATTAAATTGAAGGTGACAGTTTGGTCTGTTGTGTTGCTCTTATAGGAGCAATTTCTTGTCCCAGTGTTATGGACCAAACCAAATCCCCTCAAAATATTCCCAAGATAGTCTAGACCCTAATGTTTTCTTATTTTAAAGATAAATTTAAGGTGTGGCATTCCAGATGCAATTTGATTGGTCAAATATAGTTAATATACAACAAAAGAAAGTAGAAATTGGAATAATTTAACTGTTGGTAAACGTGACAGGGTAATAGGTCCGGTAACTACTACTAAGTAACTGTTCCAATTTAGGAACACCCCATAAACACATCCTTGGCAAAAAGCAAATTTAGAAAATACATTTCCTGCTACTGGAGCTGCATGTGAGACAGAGCCCCTAGCTTTTGGTAGTAACTAAGACAGGGACAAAGGTAGCTTCCACTTCAGTAAGACCCCAGCAACAACTGCTGAAAACTAAAAACTGAAAATTGTGGTTCTGTGAAAGCTTGACCACACCCATTCTGGCTGCTTCTATTGTTCCAACTTGTAAAAAAAAAAATCAAGGCCTCACAAGCTGTTTACTCTAGTGGCCTGGTAAATTACTCCATACCTCTGCCTTAAAACCTCGCTACAGAAAAAGCAGGACAAAATAACTTCTTAAAGCCATAGTTTCATCACACTTGTGACTGTCAAATTAGAAGTGATTACATGTAAGGAAAGGAAGATCAGTATTTAGAACTTTAGATATAGCTTTCAGTATTTAGATAGTGCCTTTCACAACCTCAGGGTGTCCCAGAATGCTTTATGCCAATCTCAATTATGTATTTTTGAAGTTTAGCCACTGTTGTAATGTCGGAAATAGTAGTCATCTCAATCGTACAATGCTCTGTACTAATCAATGTACTCAGATAAAATGCAATCTGCCACAGAAAAGCTCATGAGGGATCTAATTTGCAATCTTTGAACAATTCAAAGGGATCTTTTATTCTGCCTCTAATTAATTGTTCATCTTTGTAAGTACAGCAAGCCAATTCTAGTCATGTTCCCACAGGTATGATGACTGAGAAACTTTGCTCCAGCAACCGTATGTAAACTTGAGCAGTAAATGTTGATGATTTAATTGCAATGCTGATCCATTAAAATTTTCAGAGGAGAAAGCCTAGCTTAGAGCAAAGATTTACTATGTGACTGCTTTTGTTTATAGTTTTTCTTGTCCTTTTGGTGAACATAAGTGCATTATGTTTTTGTCTAAGACATGGGAGAAATTCAAAATTACTTGAACTTCAAAATTTGAGACAGAGTTGTGGCTAATCTAAACAAACGTAAGCTTTCTCTCCACAGATGCTGCCAGACCTGCTGAGGTTTTCCAGCAATTTCTGTTTTTGCTGTGAACAATTTAGGATAGCAAGGCAAAACAGGGCTTAAGTTTCAGAAGGTGGTTGCCTTGCTGTGCCAATAGTGCAGGAAACGATTTAGAAAGCAAGGTAGAAATGGTCAGGGTAGCAATGTTCAGAGTAAATAATCCTCTCTAGCACGTTTGAAGCATTGGTTTTCTGTGAAGAGAATGAGTCTGGACAAAATTATAATGAAGTCAAAAATATACGTGGATATAAGGATAATGCAGTTGGCAATGTTTTCAGTTATTGCATTGATCAGCATGGTTTCTACGGTCAATTAGTGAAGAGTCTGTCTGGTTTTATTTTTATGACCATTTTGTTTGCATTAAGGGTTTCGAAAATGTGACTCTTAAATGTTGGGATTTAAAAATAAATCATATTCGCATATGTTTTAATAGACATTTTAGGGAAATGTGGCTAAAAAAGATAATGGGCTGAGTTGCATCTTTCACCAATTCCTCCATTATATGTCTTCTGGAAGGCTGCTTGTCTGATCATCATCCTTGGGCTAGCCTTTTAAAAATAATTTATTTGTCTGTGAAGTGGTTTCAGACTCATGAAGGCATAAAAAGTGCTAAATAAATGCAGTTTTGTTCCTTCTCAGATGAAGATCAAAGTCATCACCATAATCCCTTAATGCAAACTGTCAATTCCTTCGAGCAACCCCGCTCTCCAAACCCCATCCTGCCCAGCATCTGATCTGGGCTGATGTAGACTACTCTCAACCTTGACAAACCGAGTTTCCAACCTTTTATCCTTCCTGATACAAAGACCATTTGCTTCCACTTCACAACAACCAACCCTCCCTTCTTTGGTCCTGCTGCTGCATCCATATCATGCCCATGTCTTACTGACTTGATTACTCTAATACTTCATTTGCCAGTCTCCAATCTTTTATTCTTCATGAATTTAAGCTCACCAAATCAAAACTGTTCATATCCTCTCTCTCTCAAAATCATATTCTGTTATACAATGAGCTGCAATAACTAAAATACATACACTGTGTTCACATCATCCATGGCCTCAGTCAGTCTGTATCTTCTACCTTCCACCAGGACTACAAACTCCCCCACTCTTCACTGAAAAGGAGGCAAATTTGCAGTGGGGGTCGTAGGGAAGCTGTGGCTGTAAAATTGGCGATGTGTTGGGGATAGAGCAGAGGCAATGGAAAAGGGGAAGGTGTGGACACTCGGGGTGATGAAGGTTTTCCAAGTATTCAATTAGGAAAACCTTTTCTGTGTAAAGTACAGCTGACAATTGCTGAAGAAAAAGACATATTACTGAAGCACTTATTTGGACAATTACAAGAATGTCAAATTTCAACTGATCACAGTTCATGCTACAGGAGGAAAGGGTGCTGATTGGTTGGCAAGTTGACCCTAATTGACTAAGGCGGACTCTCCCAGAGAAAACAATGGGGAATCTTCAGCTCTCGGTGGTCCTGGGTAACTCAAAAAAAAATGCAAAGCTTGAACAAATTTTTTTTTTTTTTACAAAGAATGTGTCCCTGCATATGAATGTACATCACTTCTAGCAAATATAAATGAGCTACCTTAGGAATGTTACTGATTTGCCAACCAATCAGCAATGTTTTTGCTTGTAATTTGAGTTGTTATTTTGGTTTGAATTTAGCATTCTTGCATTTATCCTGATAAGTATAAGAGAAATGATTTCAGCAACAATCTCTTTTCAGCACTGTTATTGACTACAAAAGATGCAACAATGTAGGCTTTTTGGGTCCAGGCAGGTTGACTTTAGATATCACCAATCTTTATTTTTGTCTGATGTTTGTTGACTTGTGCATTTCTAAAGAATTTGGTGTTATCTTCTCTTTCATTCCCAGATAGCTAGTTATTCCTAATGGATAATTTTATACTGGCTAAAGACCCTGGTGGTTTTATCGTGAACAAAATATGTTACATTGTTGTGCAGGGTTCAGTACCTTGTTTTTATTATTTTGATTGGTACAGTTTTGATTAAGCAGTTCCTTTTATGTAGTGCATTTAATATAGGAAAGTTTTACAGGAATGTTATCAAATAAAATTCTACACCACATCATGAGATTTTGGGACCAAAAGCCTGGTCACAAAGGTGGATTTTAAAGGGCAAAGTGAATACAGACTTAGGAGAGAATTTTGGGGTGTTGACTTTAGGAAACTGGACTTATGATTGTGTATCAATGTTGGAGTGTATTTATAGGTGCTTGAATCAACAAAGATACTGAATTGCCACACTAATATCCTTCATGAAGTTGGCTGTGGGAGGTGGATATTTCTTTATTACTGTTATTACTACTTATTCTTTGTGATTCATAATGGCATGTCTGTCCAGCAGGATGCAGGACATACTCAGTAGTTCTGGCAGCATCTCAGACCTGCTGAGTATTTCCAGTATTTTCTGTGTTTCTTTCAGATATTGAGTTTACAGTATCTTGTTATTTTATCTGGATTCAAAGTCTGTTCCATCAGTGGGATTCCAAAAATAGGCTGCTAACTGTATTGATTTTATTTGATTTATTATGTTTACTCTTTCGTACAATCTGAGCTGCAACACGGGTGCAATAGCAAATTTACCTTTTTTGAAAAAACCTGCCAATGGATATCTTCATTATAATGATCCTAAAACATGTTGGGACTGTGTGAATGGAACTTTACTTTGTATTTAACAATACAGTAACTAGCCTAGGAGTATTTGATGCTGAAATGGTCAGTTCAAGAAAGGAAAGTTACGAGTTGAGGGGTGACATTCTAGAGGTTTATAAAATTGAGAGGCATGGATAAAGTGAATGGCAGAACTCCTAGGGTGGGGGCAATCCAAAACTGTGGGGTATAGGTTTAAGGTGAGAGAATAAAGATTTCAAGGGATCTGAGGGGCAGCACACTCTTATGGAATGAGCCACCAGAGAAAGTGGTAGAGGCAGATACAGTTACGACATTTAAAATACATTTGGACAGGTACATGAATACAAAAGTTCTGGTGGGATATGGGCAAAACGCAGGCAAATGGGACTAGTTTAGTTTGGGACACCTGGTCGACATGGATGAGTTGAACTGAAAATGTCTGTTTCTGTGCTATATGACTCTGACTGTATGTATCATTGTGTAATGCTGTCATCCTTCAATGTGCTTGTCACAGAGGATCATTGAAAAGAATTGATTAGAAAAAAAACATAATTAACCTGTCCGCATGTTGGAATTTATTGTTGCAAAGCAGCAGTTTATATGGCTTGATGCTGGAACAGGTACCAAAGCGATTGGGAGTCACTTTTGCAATTATATTTTTATGCATTTTTTACAGAAAAAGAAGAACATGTCTGCTTATCAGCTGTTTTGCAAGGAGTACAGGATTAATATTGTTGCTGAACATCCAGGAATAGGTGAAAGTTTCTTTTTGCATATACATGTTGCCAGTGTGTTTGTTTGTTTAGGATGAGGGACTCTCATTCTTGAGTATTTGTGCCTGATGTTGGAAACAGGAGAAATTGGGATAGGTACTTGGGGCAGAATGGGGAAGGTTGGAATCACGTCCAGCCAGTGGAGAGGGTTGCATGTATGCACAATGATGTTAAAAAATCAGCAAGTGTGTAGTTTACTTTGCCTCCATGACATATGGTGCAAATTTCCATTTGTATGTTACAGAGAGAGACTACAGAAAATCATATTACTGCAGGTACTGGTGAAACACAAGAGAAGAAATCCTGCCTGTGTAAAGGCAGCTCCCCCCCCACCCCCATATCTACTTATTGTAAAATTTGCAAACAATTTATGCATAAGGCAATTTTCTTTAGAATTTGGGAGAGTTGCTTGCTACCCATGGGGTATGAAATAAAAATTTGTCAGCATAGGGATCAGATACTTAGAAAGTTGCAAATGTGAGTTTACCTAGCACTTTACAGCATGCACTCCAGCATATTGCTAATGTTGGATCCTAGCTCAAGAAACATTTGCCTTGGATTTAATGTCAGAATTGAGGTTTCAAGAGAGCAGGGAAAGACTGTTTGGGACTAAAAGGATTTAATTTAAGATCAACAACCAAAGGAGAGGGTGGGGTCATTTTGTTTTGACTGGGGAGTTGCTGGTAACAACAAAACCCTGTAGAAGCGCATTGAGGAAAGGCAGGGGATTGAGATAAGTGGCTTTTTTTTACAAAACTGAGATGCATGTGATGTGCTGAATGACCACCTTCTGTGCTGATTTGTGTTATAATTACGTAAATGGATACTTTATGTTCTGTTTAGGCTATCTCCAAATTGAATGCATTAAGGTGTGGAGGATATTAAATGGAATGCTACTGAATTGATATAGAAAGGTAGTTTGTGAAAAACCAGACAAAGATACTGTCCAACGTGATTATGCGCTGACGAGGCACGTTATAAATGAAGTGTAGCCAGCATCACATTCCTGCTTTGTGTCTCATTAAAACAACCGACTGCTTGCTTAATGCTGTACTTTATACTGAATCTGTTGAATAATTCTAAATTGAAATGGATGGTTTACTGATCTGGAAACAAAGACCAGAATTTGGGCCATAAAATTATATTTTGAGGAAAAAGACAGCTAAGACCATGATGCAAAACTCTGATTACAGACATTTCGATTTTGTTACTTCATTTAATGGCATTGATGTGTTGGAGCATCCCGAGTTGAGAATTGGTACACTACAGTGAACTTGATCATCAGTCCTACGCCGCAATAAATCAGCAAGGCAGTGTCTGCTCAATTATGTCATTACAATTAAATGTAAGTTGGAATCATTGCTGATCATTGTCTTTATCACAGATTTTGGTGAGCTTAGCAAAAAGTTAGCTGAAGTCTGGAAACAACTTCCTGACAAGGAGAAACAGGTAAGCATTGCCCACTCCAATATTGTGTTCATCAGACTAGCCTTTAGGAACACTCCTGTTATAAACTAAGTCTGTTACTTTGCAACCAGCTTGGGTAATGTTCACACGGATTTAATCAAACCAAGCTGTACAGTGCTAGTTTTAGTCCAGAATGGACACCCATATATGTAAACTTGAAGCTAGAAGGAGTTAATGTTTTGTAGTGCCATTATTAAAAGAAGGAATTTGCATTTATATAGTTTCTTTGACATCCTCCGAAATCCAAAGAATTTTGCAACCAACCACTTACATTTGAAGTATATTTGATCATTTCATAAATGTGATATCACTAAAGGAGAGCTACATCTGACATACTGCAAAACAAACAAATGGCGTCAGATACCTATATAACAGACTTGTTGAAAAATGCTTTCCTTAAATTAACCAGTCAAACTTAACTGATGTCATGGCCTAGTTAGTTTGAAGCCTGAAGCTGACGTTGCCAAACAAAGATATGCCTCATTAATATCTTAAGAGGGAACGATATTAGCCAATATATAGGGAGGACTGTTTGCTTTTCTTCAAATTCTGATAATAGATTTTTGGCATTATGTCATAACAATGCAATACTGTTTTTAATGCCCTGTTGTATGGGCCAGATTACATTCTTAAATCCTAGAGTGCCTTGATTTCAACCTTCTGACCAGTAATACTGTTTCTCGACATACTGGGAATGTTTTAACTCATTGAAAGTCTATTCACTTGCGTTAAATATTAAGAAGCAAACAGATTTCCCCCTTCTCTCCATTGAGGAAGCACTTAATGACCCGTCGAGCCCAGATGTTAACAGTTTCAGTCATGAACCTGCACCTAACTTCTATTGTGTGATATTCCAGCTGTCACTGCAAAGCTTCAGTACTGAAGTACGTTCACCTAGGCATGATCAGTTGATTTGGCTGTAAACTAGATTAACTATTTGATGCTATGCAAAATGACACCTTTTGTTTATGAAAATATTTATGGAAACCTGTCGATGATCTGAATTGTTCCATCTCAGTGTTGATGCACCATCTGAGCCTCCCCTCACTCTTAGCTCACCTTCTCAATGTAATATTCTGTTCTTTTCTCCCTTGTGTACTTAACTAAATTCCCCTTAAATTTTCATCACCTCAGCCACTCCTTGTTCTACATTTTAACCACTTTCAGGTTGGGGAGGTCTCTCCTAAATACCTTATTGGAATTATGACAATGTTGTATTAATAAAAGCTGGTTTTGTTCTCCTTACAGAGAAATATTTATCCTTTGAAATCGTATTAGGCCAATGCTCTGTCTTCGCTACAAGACAATTTAGACAGACGGCACGATTTTCTATAGTCAATCATTATTTTGTGGGGAATAGATAGGAGCAGAAGTAGACGATTTGGTTCTTTGGGCCTGCTGTGCCATTTATAGCATCATGGCTAATCTGTATCCATCCCTTTTCCCTAAGGCTATAACTTGAGTAGAAAAATTGAACCCAATCAAAAGGCCCTAGATTGTTTACGAGGTGATATAGAAAACGGTGCCTGACATGCTTGAGGTAGATAAATTCTTGAGGCAAGTGAATCAAAATTTATTGGGAATATGGAATTCCAAACACTGACTAATCAGCTATGATCTTATTGAATGGCTGAGCAGGCTCAAAAGGCTGATAGTCATCCTCTGTCGTCAAAGGCTAAGTATTCTCTGACAAGTATCTCAGCACCAGACTGCCCAAAGCCTGCCTGCCATCTGCAAAGCACAAGTGATGGGATTGGTTCCATTTACCTGGAGAGGCAGCTCCATCAGCACTCAACAAGCCTGACACCATCCAAACCAAAGCAACCAGCTTGAATGATGCCCCATGCAGCCTTTTAAACATTTGCTGTCTCCAACATTGTCAACCCCCACCCCCCGCAATGAACTGCAATGGGTCAAGAAGGCAGCTCACCACGATCCTGTGGAGCTGCCTGTGTAGGACGTGGGGTGGGCAAGGTCAGAAGACATCAGGTTATTAGCCCACCAGATTTATTTGAAATCACAAGCTTTCAGAGTGTTGCCCATTTGTCACGTGAAATAACAGAGAGGCAGAGAAATCAAAAGATCATACATATAGTGTGAGTGGACAGGTCAAATAATAGGTCTCTGCAGGTGATCAGGACGGTGCGAGTAAAGTGTCAACAGCCGAATAACAAGTGAAGCGATGACCTGTAGTCTGATTAAATGAGACAGATATGAAAAATTAAAAATAAGGTGGTGCTGGAGACAAACCAAATGACTGGAATGACATAATAGGCATGAGAGTCGCATGCTGAGGGTCTAATGAAAATCATATGTAATCCAAAACTGTACAAACTAATTAAGATAGAGACATCATAACAAGTTATCAATGTCATGGTTTCAACATAGGACAGTAGGGGAGATTTTACAAATACAGAACACTGGTGAGGTCAGAAGTGTGGCACTCCTCTAGCTTCCACCCTAAACATGTTAAAGAAGCCATTCCCTACAAACAAGCCCTGTACATACACAGGATCTGCTCAGGTGAGGAGGAACACATTGCACACCTAAAGATTTTGAAGGATGCCCTCATAAGAACGGGATACAATGCTCAATTCATTGATCGCCAGTTCTGGTGTGCCACAGCGATGAACCAGGCCAACCTCCAGAAGACAGATATAGGATATGACCAATAGTGTACCCTTCGTTGTCCAGTAATTCCCTGGAGCAGAGAAACTACGCTATGTTTTTCGCAGCCTTCAACATGTCATCGATGACAACAAGCCTCTTGCCAAGATCATCCCTGTGCCTCCACTTTTCGCCTTCAAACAACTGCCAAACCTTAAGCAGACCATCATTCACAGCAAACTACCTAGCTTTCAGGACAACATCGACCATAATGCCACGCAACCCTGCCAGCCGAGACAACTGCTACAGAACATGTCAGATCTTCGATATGGACACTACCATCACACATGGGAACGCCACCTATTATGTACACGGCAGATACTCATGTGAATCAGCCAGTGTTGATTATCTCGTAAGCTGAAAGCAAGGATGCCACGAAGCATGGTACATTGGTGAGACCATGCAGATGCTACAACAACAGATGAATGGACACGGTGCAACAATCGCCAGACAGGAATGTTCCCTCCCTGTTCAGGAACACTTCAACGGTCAAGGACATTCAGCCTCCGATCTTCAGGTGAGCACCCTCTAAGGTGGCCTTTGAGACACGACAATACAGAATCGCTGAGCAGAGACTGATGGCCAAGTTCTGTACCCATGAAGATGGTCTCAACCGTGATCTTGGGTTCATGTCGTGCTACATGTGACCCTACCACACTTCTATATCTGTAAAATCTTCCTGTTTTGACACCATCACCATGATAAATTGTTATGATCTTTCTACCTTAATCAGTTTGTACGGTTTTGGATTACTTATCACTTTGGTTAGACCCTCGCCATGGACTCTTATACCTATCATGTTATTCCAGTCATTTGGTATGTCTCCAGCATCACCTTCCTTTTTAATTTTTTGTAATTATCTCTCTGCCTCTCTTAATCAGATTACAGGTCATCCCTTCACTTGTTATTCAGCTGTTGACACTTTACTCACAACGTCTGACACTCTTCATCACCTGCAGAGACCTAATATTCGGCCTGTCCACTCTCTCGCCATTTGTATGATTTTTTTTAAATCTCTCTGCCCATTGATCTCTCTGCCTATAAATTCTGTGCTTGTGTGCTTCTCTCTCACTTCACCTGACAAAGGGGCAATGCTCTGAAAGCTTGTGTTTTCAAATAAACCTGTTGGACTATAACCTGGTGTCGTGTGATTTCTGACCTTGTCCACCCCAATCCAACACCAGTACCTCCACATCATTAAATCCTTGGACAGAGCACAGAAAATAAAATCAATAAATTGTTACCAGGGATGTGAAAGTTAGATCACTTGTGGAGACAGAAGAATCTGAGGATAAAGGGAGATTTAATCAAGGTGTCAAAATTATGAAAGGTTTTGACATTGTAAATAAGGAGAAATTATTTCTTCAGGTAGGGGGATCTGGGGATAAGATCATGATCTTATGAAATGGCAGATCATGTTTGAGGGGCCATATCAGTTCTTAATGCTCTTATTTCTAATGTAGTTATGTTTCAGTTCCAACTGATTAATGTCAGCACTGGAATTTCACTTGGGTACAATCTGTAACATGCCCAGTTTGAAATTGGAGTTTTAAAAACCCATTCAAAACTTTAACTAATGCAGATGTGTGGGTTGTACGTCACTGTGATTGGCAAACATAATGTTAGTTTGATTGTTAGTAAGAGTAAGACTGTGCACACCTGAGCCGCATTTGCAAAATCAAAAACAAATCTCTATGTTTGATGTGATTCTGATTGAGCACCACTTGTTGAACAATCTGAATATTTATTGTTGTGTCTGGGCAACAGTGGGAATACCAGAGATAGTAGGAACTGCAGATGCTGGAGAATCTGAGATAACAAGGTGTAGAGCTGGATGAACACAGCAGGCCAAGCAGCATCATAGGAGCAGGAAGGCTGATGTTTCAGACCTAGACCCTTCATCAGAAAAGGGGGAGGGGAAGGGGGTTCTGAAATAAATAGGGAGAGAGGGGGAGGCGGATAGAGGAGAAGATAGGTGGAGAGGAAACAGACAGGTCAAAGAGGCGGGGATGGAGCCAGTAAAGGTGAGTGTAAGTAGGGAGGAGATAGGTCAGTCCAGGGAGGACGGACAGGTCAAGGGGGCGGGATGAGGTTAGTAGGAGGAAATGGGGGTGCGGCTTGAGGTGGGAGGAAGAACAGGTTAGGGAGGCGGGGACGAGCTGGACTGGTTTTGGGATGCGGTAGGGGGAGGGAGATTTTGAAGCTTGTGAAATCCACATTGATACCATTGGGCTGCAGGGTTCCCAAGTGGAATATGAGGTGCTGTTCCTGCAACCTTCGGGTGGCATCGTTGTGGCACTGCAGGAGGCCCAGGATGGACATGTCGTCTGAGGAATGGGAGGGGGAGTTGAAATGGTTCGCGACTGGGAGGTGCAGTTGTTTGTTGCGAACCGAGTGTAGGTGTTCTGCAAAGCGGTCCCCGAGCCTCCGCTTTGTTTCCCCGATGTAGAGGAGGCCACAACGGGTACAGCAGATGCAGTATACCACATTAGCAGATGTGCAGGTGAACATCTGCTTGATGTGGAAAGTCTTCTTGGAGCCTGGGATGGGGGTGAGGGGGGGAGGTATGGGGACAGGTGTAGCACTTCCTGCGGTTGCAGGGAAAAGTGATGGGGCTGGAGGGGAGTGTGGAGCGGACAAGGGAGTCACGGAGAGAGTGGTCCCTCCGGAAAGCGGATAAGGGTGGGGAGGGAAAAATGTCTTTGGTGGTGGGACCGGATTGCAGATGGCGGAAGTGTCGGAGGATGATGCATTGGATCCGGAGGTTGGTGGGGTGGTACGTGAGAGGACGAGGGGGATTCTGTTTTGGTTGTTATTGCGGGGACGGGATGTGAGGGATGAGTTGCGGGAAATGCGGGAGACACAGTGGAGGGCGTTCTCGACCACTGAGGGGGGGAAGTTGCAGTTCTTGAAAAACGAGGACATCTGAGATATACGGGAGTGGAATGCCTCATCCTGGGAGCAGATGCGGCGGAGGCGAAGGAATTGGGAATAGGGGATGGCATTTTTGCAGGAAGGTGGGTGGGAGGAGGTGCATTTTTTTTGGCTCATCCCTAGTTCCCCTTAAACCGATTGGCTGTCAAGGTTATTTCGGAAGATAATTAAGAATCAACTATAATGCTGTGGGTCTGGAGACTCTGGATCACTGGTCCAGTTATGTTCCCACAATGTAAACATATCAACATTGGGAAAGGTGGGACTTGAATCCCAGACCACATGGCCCCAAGGCAGGGACAGAATCACTGCAGATATTTTCTAATCAATCTGTTCAGTGATATTATTACATACCTCTAGAGCAGGTAGAACTTAAACCTGGGCTCAGAGGTAGAGACACCACCATTGTGCCACATTGGCTCCACTAATGAATGTTAACAGCTACACCAACAGCCATTTTAAAACAATTAGCCAAGCTTGTAATGTGACTCATTTAAAATTGCCAGGAGTGATGTATGTTCATAAGTAGGATCTGTCCTGTGCAAAGAATAAGGAATATATTCAAGCTTTTTCTTTAAATTATCTGTGAACTCGGGAAGTCCGTACCACCCATTGCATTCTCCATAGCACTGTCTCAGCCGATTAGAGTCAACATGCCAACCAGTCAGCACCCTTCCTCTGTTATTGTGGCCATTTGAAATGTGACATTCTTGCATTTGTCCTGATGAGTGCAACTTCACAACTTTGGCAATAAAGACAGGAAGTGCTGGAGAAATTGTGCATGTTTGGCAACATCTGTGAAGAGCGAAACTGAGTTAATGTTTTGAGTCCAATATGACTCTTCGAATAAAAAATGAAAATATTGATATCATGTCTCTCTTTTTGACAATATTCAAGTGATCCATATTTGCAACAAGAAGTGCCAACAATGTTGAGCACAGTATCAAAGCATTTTTAGTTTCAAGCAATATCAGCACAATAGCCAAAGTCATAACTTTGCTTTAGCCTCTGTGTGAATATTATCAAACTAGACTTGGAAATATAGGACCAATGCACCACTCCTTTGTAAATTTATCTTCCACATTTGTTAGCAAGAGGAAAAAAATTCCATTGTGTTTTTCTTGTTGATTTTGAATTTTTTTTTCTATGTTCTTTGCTTTGCTCAGGAGATGACATAGCTGCAAGGGTGGGGAGTTATGGTCTATGGCTTGACAGACCACCTAGTCTTTTCATGTTTGTTAATTTTTGTTTGCTCATACTCTTGATTATTGAGCACTGGCTTTTCTGGTGGCATTGCCAGGTATGTGATGAGAGAGTTTTTTCAAACAAGTTGTTAAATTTTGGGAGTTTGTGATCACAGTTACGTAATGGTAGTCGAACACTTGTAAGTAACTTTGTTTATTGAGCTAATTTATTAAGCAGCAGTTAGACATAATGCATTAGTTAATTTAGACAAAGAAAAGAAATGTACAATCTGTGAAAGATGAGAATGGTAGGTTTAGGTTTATTAGGGTTTAATAATTGACTACAGAGTAAAAGATCCCCTAGGAAGTAGTGATCATGTGATAGAATTGAATATTCAGTTTGAGAGTGAGAAACTTGGATTGGAAACAATTGTATTAACTTAAATAAAGAGAATTACAAGAAAGTTGGAGTATAAAGGCAGGGATGCCTGTACAACTGTACCAGGTGCTGGTGAGACCATATCTGGAGTACTGAACAGTTTTGGAGTTTTGGTCCCTTTATTAAAGGAAAGATATTATTTAATCGGAGGCAGTTCAGATAATTTTTACTAGGATGATCCCCAATATGGAGGGATTTTCTTTTGAGTAAAGGTTGAACAGGTTGGAACTCCACTCACTGGGTTTTAGAAAAATGAGAGGTGAACTCATTGAAATGTATAGGATTCTTAAGGAGCTTGATGGAGTGAATGCTGAGAGGATGTTTCCTCTCATGGGGAGAGTCCCGGTTCAGAGAAGGCAATCTCAAAATAAAGGGGTGCCAATTTAAGACTGAGATTCGGAGTCTTTGGAACTCCTTGCCTCAGATCTGTAGGACAGAGTCTATGTGTATATTTAAGTCTCTCTCTCTCTCTCTCTCTCTCTCTCTCTCTCTCTCTCTCTCACTTGCATGCACTTTTTTTGTCTCTCTCTCTCTCATACACACACACACGTTACGAGGAAGGGCAGGAAAGTGGACGCAGAGAATGTCAGATCAGCAGTGATGTTCTTGAGGGGCTGAATAGCCTACTCCTGTTCCTATTTCTTATGATCTTGTGGTCCTTTCAATCCCAAAGCTGTCCTGTAGAATGGAGAAGCAGAGGTAGTGGACCGCAATGGAGCCAAAGGATGTTCATTCCTGAAGTTTTGCAGACTTTGATAGGAGCAATCTTAGTTCTTTCCTCAAACTCCTGATCTTCTCCCAAGAAGGTGCTGGCTTGTTCCCTTGGACCTTCTCTCACTCTTACTTCCCACCTACTATGTGGTACTTTATTTTAGGATTTGGCAACCTGTGTTGTCTATCACTTGTGTGAACGCTTGTGACCAATTACTACAGCAGTTACTTATGACTTCAGGATGATTGTTGTTCCTTATCCAACTCTATTTGAAGGCTAGTTGTCGTGCCTTCTAAGACAAGGCATCATCATCTCCTAGATACTGCACTAAAATAATTAAATTTTAAAGGGGTCCCCAGTTTTCATGAATGTTGACACTTCCCTGATGGTGGGTTTTGCAAAGACTTATTTAAAGCTATCACTAATCATGAGAACTATCTTAAGTTTAACTAATTGCAGGGATGTGAGATTTTCCTTGTTATTGTAGGTCTGGAAGCAGAAGTGCCAATACTTGCAGCACAAGCAGAACAAAGCTGAGGCCATGACAGTGAAGAGGAAACTGACTGATCTGTTGGAAGAGACAGCTACTAAACAGAAAGGTATTCTCAACAGACAATAATTATATATGAATAATGACAAACAGGAACAGATCCCCCACAAATACAATCCTGCTATATACGCTTCCCACCCCAGCTGGAAGCCTGGTAACTTCGTGGGAAGATGATAAAACAGATCAAATCCCAAATCAATTAGACAGGAACAATCTGGGGAAATCTCCCTGGCCCCACCTTCTTTTAATAGTCAGCATTCTGTGCACCACTTATCTCTCTATTCAAGTTTTTTAAAAATTAATTCAAGAAATGAGTGTTGCTGTCTAGGTTAGCATCTATCGCCCATCCTTAATTGCCCTTGAGAAAGTGGCGGCGAACTGTCTTTTCGAACTACTGAAGTCCATGTGGTGTAGGTACACAGAGCTGTTAGAGAGGGGAGTTCCAGGATTTTAACCCCATGGCAGTGAAGAAATGACACTAAAGTTCCACATCAGGATGGTGCATGGCTTGGAAGGGAATTTGCAGGTGGTGTTCCCATGTACTGCTGTACTCATCCTTCTGGGTGGTAGGAGGTTGAGGGTTGAGAAGCTGCTTTCTAAGGAGCCTTGGTGAGTTGTTGCAGTGCATCTTGTAGATGATACACACTGCTTCTACTGAGAATCAGAAGTGATTTCTTCCAGCCAGAACAGTCCCATCCTCACTTGAAGAATTTCTGAGCTCCTTTTCTCTGGGTGATGGGGTGAATTTAAAAAAAAAAAACACCCCTTAATATCTCATCTAGATCTGGGCTTGCATCACTTGAGGGTATGACCCCTGCTCTTCCTTAAACTATTTAGTGGAAGCAAACTGTCAACTTGAACACACACTCTTCGTCTTATAAAGCTCAATCAAATTGCTCCTGAGTCTATTGTCCAAAATGTGCAGTGCCAGATCTTGGCTTATATAGGTAACTGAGATTCTTTAAGAGTGGATCTAGTGACCTTCCTCTACACCCTTACAAAAGTCTCAACAGCATTGACCCTATGAAGACAGCAAACTTGGCCATAGTGTTCCAACTTAGGCTTGGGAAGGAGGAACCCTTATGCATTGTTTGATAGTCAATTGTCCTATAAATGCATCCAACTCTCTAGTGATCGGTTGGACGGAGCTTTGGGTTGTCCCTATCTGGAGAACTGCCTTCAGGACGCCTTGGGAAAGATATTTACCTTATGCCTGGTGGTGGATATGTTACACTTTATCAGAAGGGCACCAGAGCTGGAAGGTCTTAATAATGAGGTCACGGTCCATTAACTTGATGTATTTCTGGAACTTACCAGGTTTCAAGGTGATCTAATTGAGGTATATAGTAGATCTTGAGAAACTTTTCTCTGTTAGAGGAGTCCAGAATAAGGTTGCATTATCTTGCGATTAGACCAAGACCATTTGGAATAAAATCCAGAAACATTTTTTTCAAAGAAAAGCTAGTGAAAATCTGAAACTTGATCTCCCAGAAAGCTGTAGATGCTGGGGGCCATTCAAAAAGTTCAGTACTCAATTTGGTAGATTTTTGTTTGGCAAGACTTTGGAACATTGTGGGTAAATGGAGTTGAGGTACAGACAACCATGATTTAACAGAAGACTGCCCCCATACCTCCTCCCTCACCCCCATCCCAGGCCCCAAGAAGACTTTCCACATCAAGCAGATGTTCACCTGCACATCTGCCAATGTGGTATACTGCATCCGCTGTACCCGGTGTGGCTTCCTCTACATCGGGGAAACCAAGCGGAG